CCCGGAGGCACTCGCAGCCCCACGCACCCCTGAGCACCGCGGGGCCGGGAGCAGCCCCTCACCCTGCCTCTCCACCCAGGCGCGAAGTTCCCCATCAAGTGGACGGCGCCCGAAGCTGCTCTGTACGGCAGGTTTACCATCAAGTCGGACGTCTGGTCCTTTGGCATCCTCTTGACCGAGCTGACCACCAAGGGCAGAGTGCCATACCCAGGTGAGGGCTGGCACCCGCCAGCAGAAGCCCTGTCCCCCTTGCGGTGCCACAATGCCGGCTGGCTGTGCCCAGCGCTTGCCCCGGCACGCTGTGGCCCCCAGAGCCGTCTTTGCGGAGGAGCAAACTGATGCAAAGTTTCTCCTGCAATTTGGGCAGGGAGGGTGGGCTCAGGGGCGAGCTGACCCTCCCCAGGTCGGATCCTGCAGAGGCAGGGGCAGGGTGAGCCAAGCCTGGATAGGATACAGGGTCACAGCCACCCTGTCCCACTCTAGTCCCCGAGCAGGGTGACAGGCTGTCAGGGATGAGTACTGTTGGGCTGGGGGGGTCCCTCTCTCCCTGGGTCCCGGGGGTTGCTCCATAAGGCTCATCCCAGCATGATGCCCTCGGTGCCTCCTCTGGGAAAGGCACGGTGCAGGACCTGACCCAGCTCTAATCCACGCCACGTCTCCTCTGGCCACACGCAGGGATGGTGAACCGGGAGGTGCTGGACCAGGTGGAGCGGGGGTACCGCATGCCCTGCCCGCCTGAGTGCCCCGAGTCCCTGCACGACCTCATGTGCCAGTGCTGGCGGAAGGACCCGGAGGAGCGACCCACCTTCGAGTACTTACAGGCTTTCCTGGAGGACTACTTCACCTCAACAGAGCCCCAGTACCAGCCCGGCGAGAACCTATAGACCCGGAGCTCCTCCTGGCACCAGGGTCGCCTCTGTCCTTGCCGTGGGGTGCGGAGGGCTGGCCTCCCCGCTGAGGGGCCGGTTTTTTGTGGAGCAGCTCCGGAGCAGGATGGGGCATCGTCTCCAGATGCGGCCAGGGGAGGTGCTGGGTCCCCCCCAGTGCTCATTAAGACTTCTGGCCCATGTTTAACGAAGCGGCGCCGTCCTGCTGGCAAG